TTAAGTTTAAACTTGTCTGTCTGTTTGTCCATGTATTTCCACATCTTCCACAGGTCGTACTTTTTGAGATATATTGATGAACTTGGATAAACTCGGATAATTAAAACCAAAAATAGATTCTATTGAAAATTGTGAAATTTTCACGACTCCCTATAAAACTTTACATGCGAATTATTCAAATACTGCAGGGAAAAGGGTTGAGGAATAGAAAATTAATTGTACGAACCTTGAACGTCTGCTCACATTCTGGATTTTTTCCTATATCACGAGCCCCAGGGAAAACACATAGACACAAGCAATAATTTTTAGCATCTTATGGCGAAAGCAAGGTAAAGTAGTGTAAGGTAACTAAAAGCCATTTTAGCTCGACTATATAATGTCTTAATAGTTTTACTTTAAATCCTTCGTTTAAGTATAAGCTACACTTACCTACCAGCAGAAAATAGTGCGTTTTATAAAGGTTACTACACATGTGTAGTCGACTAGATAAGATCGCGACTATCAAGTCAGTTTTCGCGGACTCAAATCTCAAATGCCATATAGTTTAGTTTGATCGTAGCTACAAGGAACTTTGTTCGTAGCATGTACGTAGAGAGTGCTTAGTCGGTAAAGGTATGATATTAATTTGGGCGCACATCCACTAGGCTGTGACCAAAGAACACGAAAGAAAGCTACTACGAGTTGTCCTGTCAACCGCGAGGAAGTTGTTTTTCAAGAGTTCTCGCAAAACCCCACCTCACCAACTGAATTTCCAAAAATTGTATTGTAATTTTCCTGAAATATTAAATAACTTATAATAATTAAAAAAAAAAAAAAAAAATCATCTATTTTTATCCTTCCATTAAGAAACCAGCCTCTTCTCAAACAAGTCCCTTATGTTGACAAAATGTTTTCAGGCTGGTGAGGTCTGTGTGAGAGGGACGGGACTGCTGCAAATTCCACACAATATATTTTCTTTCTTCCTTGTTTTGTAATATCAAACTATTCGTTTTGATGTACTTAAGCATTTCATAACTGACCTATATATGCATTTCTCTACCAGATAATTAACGCAGGCAGCTTAGCAGATTATTCGAAAGGAAACAACTCATGACAACTTGCTGTCAATTAAATTAACAAATGAAAGAATGAATAAAGTAGTTGCTAGACAAGAAATAGAAATAAAAGAAATAAAAGAAATAAAAAAAAAAAAAAATAAAAGAAAAAAAACAAAAGCTGGAAACTAAACTTAATAACAAAAGTGTTAGAGAATAACATGTTCTTTATAAACATGTTCACACATTTATTCAGATCCACGCGTACAATTTATTATCGTTATCGTGCATAAAGATAGTATTAAGTCAAATCTTTTTAAATTGAACATTTTTCAACTTCATTTATATATTACGATGTTTACTTGCTGCTTCTCAAGTCGAAGACAAACATTCGTTGACAACTTCATCATAACTACCATTTAAAGACTTTGTTTCACATATATACATATATTCGTTTGTTTACTTACAAAATTTAGTAAGATAAATAGGTGTATGTGCGTATACATGTATTTACGTGAGAGCATTTTGAAAACTTGATTTCATTTCTACAGAATAGAAATGTGTAGCAACATTGTAACAATTTCGCATTTTTCATTTTCACATCTACGGATCAAAAAAAAAAAAAAAAAAAAAAAATACTATCATCACCACCATCATCATACACATTATATCAATAAGCAAGTGCTGAGAAAGTTTCTTTGAAATTGTCATAGCAATCTGTTCCTCTAGAGCATATATTCTGCAAACATTAATACAAAGTAAAGTTTAAATTAAATATCGAACTGTAGCGGTTTTTTTTTTTTTTTTTTTTTTTTTTGTCTTCTTCTTTTAAAGCAATCTGACCATCTTTAGCGTTATTTTGTTGATGTTTATTGTCTAATTTTATATATCAATCGATATTATAACATGCGACATCGAATGCTTCTTGCGTTTTTTTTTCTCTCACACACAACATTATTTGTGCCTTATCTCACGTCTATAAGGAGCGCCTTTGTTTTCTCTTTTCTTTTCTTTTCTTTTCTTTTTTTTTTTATTATTTGTTTATTATTATCAATTATAAAAGTTGTTTGTTACATTTAACTAAATTTGATTCGTTGTCATTTCCATTTTCTTTTTAGGACGCATAGAAAAACTTCCCCTTTACACTTTTATAGAAATCTGCATTATTATGGTATTAAATGAGAAATTTACAATAAACACTTTTATATTTTCCATAAATAGTTGAAAAGAAATTATCTTTAATTATTTATTGCAAGAATTTTCAAGAATTATATTAAATTGAAAAGAGATTGAAAATGAAAATTTTGAAAAAATTCACTTTAGAATAAAATTTAAAATATTAATTGTTATTATTAAAATTTAATAATAATAACATATAAAACTACCATAAAATACCCTACACTACCCTACAATTATATATATATATTGCGCATATATAGGAAGTTGTCGAAACGTCAGTGTACCAAATTTCATGAAAATATCTCAATACTTGCGACTTGTAAGTTGACAAAAGATAATAGGAGAGGCAGGCGGGCAGAGGAGGCTAGAAAATCATTTCACATCAATCAGTATAATAAAAGGTGAGCTTATCTCAAGTCTTTTCGGATCTTACACGCATATCCGACCATTCACAAACATAATATATCTGCGTGCCACAGGTGATGTAAGGTAAGGTTATAATAATAAAGGCAATAAGCAACTAATAATAATATTTCGTAGGAAACGAAAGAGAGAGGAAGAGAAAAGATCGAGCATTTGCAAAAATTTATAAATTTACAGCCTAAGTCAAGCATATCGTCAGACAAGTAATTCTTAAGGCCATATCGTAACATGCCGGACTTCTGTCGATGTTATACCGAAGCCCTGATGCGAGCGCCGTTAGCTGGTAGGAAGACCGCATTATCGTCACCATTAAAATTTCGCAGATATAAGCGATCCACTTGTGGCGCATTTCTCAACATTAGGGGTAATTTTTTTTCTATATATTTACGATCCTTTTTACTTTTTCAGAAATAAACAAGAAAGAGTTAAAATCCTCCTCCACCTAGCTTGTGCCGTACACAATTGAACAGCAAGACAGAGTAAGTATCCTTTCGTTTGATATATCGATTTTACTTGGTAGTAGTAAGAAGGAGCAAGTTTTTCGCTTTGCCATTGATTTCACCTAACAACTTGTTCGGCCTGCCTTTATTTAATACGGTAAACTTTCACTTTGCCTCTATGCTCGAGAGTTCAGTCAAAGGTGCTTTATTATTTAATATGTAATTAAGGGGTATTCTCGAATAAATGAACACTACCATCAGTATATTTCCACCTATTATGTGTGAATGACTAGCCAGATTCAATGTTAAAGTTCAGCCAGCTTCAGTCAACTTCAATGGTAAATGCGATGCAATGCAAGTTTTCCTTAAATTGGGCTTGAAGTTGAAAACCTTAAATAGCTTAAGGTAGCCAGTTTATTAATTTCCAGTGCTAATGTGAGAAATTCGACATTTCAAATTCACTTCTTTTTAGTTCGAAGGCACTCATGTAGGTTATTCGAGCGGAGCTATGACCTACAAAGCCTGCAACTTCTTGTTAGTTATGGATGTTTCGAATGGCCATTCGATTGGAGCTGGTTTTGCGTCAAGTTAGTAATAATTTAACATTTTCGTTCTCATTTGATGTAAAATTGGGCAACATTTCAGCAATGTGCGTACGTGACGAAGAGAATATTTTATAATATTTTATACCTTGTATCACTTATGGTACAGGATATATTAAATTACTGCGTACGTAGAAGAGCTTAAGGTAGACCCACTCTTTATTATAGCGATCGATTCAGAATTATAATCTGAATTGATCAAAGTCCGTCTGTTCGTGTGAAAATTTGTGTTCAAGCTACAGGTCACAATTTTTGAGATAATTTAATGAAGTTTAGTACAATGACGTGTTTTGAGGGAGGAGGAATGCGAAAAATTGTTTAGCTTGGTCCATTGTTTCGACCACTGCCCTTACAATGCCCAATTCTGAAAAGTTGTTATATGGAAAATAATTGCAATTTTCAAAATTTCTTGGCAAAAGTGGCTATTCATAGTACTTCGGCATCCTAAATTGGTATGAAAACTTTCCACTGGGTGGGATAATTTCTGAAAGTCCTCTTATATAACGAAAACTGAAGTTCCTATTACAAAAACATATAATTTTCAATGGTTCCTGTTGAAAAATATATCATAATAGTAATTTAACATAAAAAAATTAAGTGTACCGAATTTGGACCAAGGCGGCCTATTTTTTGGATCTTACCCAGACAGAAAAGTCTAAATTTTAATATGTTGTGGTGAAAATTAACCTATTCCTAGTTAATTTGATACAAAAAATTATATAAAACGTATCTCCATTTTTGAAACTCTTGGGCAAAATCATTCTAACGGAACGCAAGACTTCATTTGTAAAGAGTTGTTATAACTTTGAATTGGTGGGCATCAAACGTTTTGTGAGTAAAGTAAGTGAAGAAGAAGAGAATTTACAAAATTTAATTGAAACCAGAAGTCAGCTTCAAATCAAATTTTAAATCGATTTAAGTAAGTCGGTCTGTCCAACCGGACATTCTCCTGGCTCCAAAAATATAGATATCGGCTTCAAATTGAGCAAAAACATTAGAAGTTTTTGCATGAAAGTTGGTACTGAGAATGGGTTAACGGACGCACCTAAAGTACCAAAAGAAACATTTCTCCAAAGGGGGAAGAAGTTGGTTTTTGCTGCTAGACCTATAAAAGTTGTAACAGCAGGCCAATAACCGGACGGACGGACACGGCTACAACTATTAATAAGTAATAAAAGTATCGTATCTCTGATAATTTTTTTTGTTTGTGTTATATACGTATTGAATAAATTAATGCTTTCCGTATGTATTAATGATCGATGATAACAAAAGACTTAAGCAACAAACTTAATAAGAAAAAACTTCTCACATATTTTACTTACAATTAATATTTTCGTGATTTTGAAACGTTTATCCATATTTATGTAGTTTATTGTGCTTGTATGCCTATGTCTTAAGAGTTAACAAATTGAAAGTCACATAAATTCTCATGAGAGGCGAAGAATGAAGGAAGACAACGAACAACGATTAATGACTTTGCAAAGTTATACTTTATATATATAAAACTCGTAATCACTCTATGTATGAATAGTAAACATAGTAACGATAATAAGTGAAGAGTTTTTTTTTAACGAAAACGAAGGTGATTTTTTTTAAGTTAAGTATAATAATTTTCTTCAGTAACGCATTTTCTTACACAAGGGAATTATAATTTTATGTGAAGATAAAATTTATACACACAACACATGTTTCAGTATATACAAATAATTAATAATATATTATTTTAATAAGAAAAGTAAAACACTTTTTATTAAAATATATATTTTTTTTTGTTTTGATTTCTTTGCTTTTATTTCGTCTTTAATCGTTTAAGAAAAAGCTTTAACATGAATATTTGATTTAAAAATCATTCATTTTTCACATCACGTATAAATTTTAATTTTTAAAAGCATTTTGTTTTATTTTAGTTTTTTTTTTTTAAAAAAAAGCAAAAAAAAAACATAGAAATTAAAACTTTCACATTTTCAGGAAATTTTACAAAATACATATATATATGCATATATATTTAAAATAATTTTTAGTTAAAAATAAATGTACTAAATTTTTTTTTTTTTTTTGTTTTTTCGAAAGAAATCGAATAATTTTACGTAATTTTTGTAAAGCTTTTATAAATTTATTTTTTTTTATTTAATTTTTCATAAATATGTAATAAGAGAAAATAAAAAGAAAAAATCACGTTCACACGGTTTGCACTCACGACTGCAACTGTGTCTGCCAATAGTCCATAATAAACAAACACCCAGTCAACCGACCAGCCAGACTTTAAGCCATTCATCGTCGGTTAGCAGTTGTTGTAGTAGTTTGGTTAAGAAGAAGTCATTTCACACACCATACGAAACTCAAGCAGCGGTAGTAGTAATAGTTTGTAGTAGTTTTCTTGCGTTTTTTGTTTCTTTTTTCTTTTTCTTTTTTTTTTT